AGTCTTTATTTCCTTGTTGATCTTTTCCTTAGATGATCTGTCCATTTCAGTCAGAGGGGTGTTAAAGTCCCGCACTACTATTGTATTGTTGTCGATGTGTATCTTTGCTTTTGTTATTAATTGCCTTATATAATTGCTGCTCCCATGTTAGGGGCATAGATATTTACAATTGTTGGATCTTCTTGTTGGATAGACCCTCTAAGTAGGTTATAGTGTCCTTCTTCATCTCTTAATACAGTCTTTGGTTGAAAATCTAATTTGTCTGATATAAGGATTGCCACCCCAGCTTTCTTTTGGTGTCCATTAGCATGGTAAATTATTTTCCACCCCCTCACTTTCAATCTGGGGGTGTCTTTGGGTCTAAAATGAGTCTCTTGCAGACAGCATATCGATGGGTCTTGTTTTTAATCCAATCTGATAGCCTGTGTCTTTTGATTGGGGCATTTAGCCCATTTACATTCAGGGTAACTATTGAAAGATATGAATTTAGTGCCATTGTATTGCTTGTCAGGTGACTGTTACTGTATATTGTCTGTGTTCCTTTCTGGTCTATGCTGCTTTTAGGCTCTCTCTTTGCTTAGAGGATCCCTTTCAATATTTCTTGTAGGACTGGTTTCGTGTTTGTAAATTTCTTTAGTTTTTGTTTGTCCAGGAAGATTTTTATCTCTCCTTCTATTTTCAATGACAGCCTAGCTGGATATAGTATTCTTGGCTATATATTTTTCTCGTTTAGTGCTGTGAAGATATCATGCCAGTCCTTTCTGGCCTGCCATGTCTCTGTGGGTAGGTCTGTTGCCAATGTAATGTTTCTACCATTATATGTTACAGATCTCTTCTCCCGAACTGCTTTCAAGATTTTCTCTTTGTCTCTGAGATTTGTAAGTTTTACTATTAGATGTCAGGGTGTTGACCTATTTCTATTGATTTTGAGAGGGGTTCTCTGTGCCTCCTGGATTTTGATACCTGTTTCCTTCCCCACATTGGGAACTTCTCTGCTATAATTTGCTCCAATATACCTTCTGTCCCTCTCTCTCTTTCTTCTTCTTTTGGGATCCCAATTATTCTAATGTTATTTCGTCTTATCGTATCGCTTATCTCTCGAATTCAGCCCTCGTGATCCAGTAGTTGTTTATCTCTCTTTTTCTCAGCTTCTTTATTTTCCATCATTTGGTCCTCCATGTCACTGATTCTCTCTTTTGCCTCATTTATCCTAGCAGTTAGTGCCCCCATTTTTTATTGCACCTCATTAATAGCCTTTTTGATTTCGACTTGGTTAGATTTTAGTTCTTTTATTTCCCCAGGAAGGGTTTCTCTAATAACCTCCATGCTTTTTTCAAACCCAGCTAGTATCTTTAAATTCATGTTTCTGAACTCTAGGTCCAACATTGTACTAATGTCCGTATTGCGTAGGTCCCTGGCAGATGGTACTACCTCTTGTTCTTTTTGTTGAGGTGATTTTTTTTGTCTTGTCATTTTGTCCAGAGGAGAATAGATGAATGAGAGAACAAATGCTAACAGGTTAACAACATCCCCAGAATATATATTCTAAACAAATCAGAAAAGACCTGAAACCAGGGGAGAAGAAAGGGAAAGAAAGAAAAAAGAGAGAAAAAAAGATAAAGATAAAAACAAACAAAAACAGAACAAAAATAAAACAGAATATGATCAAATATGATCAGATTAGTGCATAGATCAGTGCCACACACTAGATTTTGGGTGTATTTTGGTCTGTTAGAAGAAAGTACCTCCTAAAATTTTAAAGAAACAAAGACATATATGTACAAAAAAAAAGGTTGATACAATGAAGGGATGGAATATGACTGTAAAGATGAAAATTATAAAAGATTTTATAAAAGGAATTGATAAGATAATAAGTTGTTTGGAAAAAGAAAGAAGATTTAAAAAGAAAAAAAAAAGGGAGAATGTGATCAGGCAAGGGACTAGAACAAAGCCATACACTATTGATTTAGGGTATATTTTGATCTGTTAGAAGAAACTGTATCTCAAAATTTTAAAGAGAGAACAACCTATATATATATATGCCATTATAAGGGTAACTACTATGAAGGGATAGAATATGACTCTAAAAATGAAAAATAAAAATGTTTTTTTAAAAGGGATTGATAAGACATTGGTTGAAAAAGGGAAAAAGAAAAATTCAAAAAAAAATCAAAAACAAAAACAGTTAAAAAAAATTAACTTTGAAAGACTAATGAATCATGGTAAAAAAAAAGCCATGAATTCTATGTGCAGTATTCCCCTAGCGCTGGAGTTCTCCCGTTCTCATTGATCAGTAAACTTGGTCTTGGCTGGCTGTTCTTGCTGATCTTCTGGGGGATGGGCCTGTTGCCATGGTTCCCAAGTGTCTTTGCCGGAGGTGGAATTGCCCCGCCCTTGCCGGTCCGGGCTAAGTAATCTGCTCGGGTTTTGCTCTCGGGAGCTTTTGTTCCTTGCAAGCTTTCCGTACCACTTTGGAGGACAAGAGTGAAAAATGCCAGCCTCCAAACTCCGCCCCGGAGGAGCCGAGAACTCCGGGCCCTACTCCTCAGTGCGCTGCCCCCCAGAGAAAAGCAGTCATTCACTCCCATCTCCCCAGTCTCTGGCCGCACTCCGTGCTCACCCAGCCTGTGACTGAGCATTTCTATCTCTGGCTCACGACCCTGTGTGAAGTCTCCAAACCCAGCAGATCCCTGCAGTGCGCTCTCCCGCCGCTCCTCCTGGGGGAGGGAGGGGAGTCTCCCCGGATCTGCCACTTGTTGGGTCCCTGCTGGAGGAGAAGTGGCCTGACTGTGCCTCGGATCATGGTTTATGGCCACCCCGAGCTGAGAGCCCGCACCCAGGCTCTGTCTCTGCCGCCGGCTTCCACGCTCCGATACCTGGGAGCTCTGTTGCACTCAGGCACCCCCGGTGTTTCTGTGACCCCGAGGGTCCTGAGACCACACTGTCCCGCAAGGGTTCCACCTCCCACTTAGCCACTGGAGCGACGTCCCTCAGCGGAACCGACTTCTAGAAGTTCTGAGTTTGTGCCCTGCGGCTTTATCACTTGCCAGAAGCGGCCAACAGAGGCCCCCTCCCATGCTGTCTATCCTCCCCCAGATTCACTTCTCCTCACGTCCTACCTTCCAGTAAGTGGTCGCTTTTCTGTTCAGAGAGTTGTTGCTATTCTTTTCTTCAATCTCCGGTTGAGTTCGTAAGTGTTCAGAATGGGCTGATCCCTATTCAGCTGAATTCCTGAGACCAGACGAAATCCAGCGGCCTATAGGAGTTTTATCTATAAAATAGACCTGAAATATCTAATAAGTTTTGTCTGTGTAGTAACATCTTTCACAACAGAATAAACAGATTCAAGTACATTTTATCTTCTTGAAATTTCATAGTTTAGTATTTAGGTAATCCAAAGGATTTATCTACTACCTATTCTTTAATTTAGCAGCCAAAGTTATTATAATTTTCATATAATTTATACATCAAAACTGAATGCTTCAAATAGAGTATTTCCACTGAGTTTAGCACTGATAACACTTGTTTCTGTCAGAAAGCTTTTCCTTCTCAATTCTTTCATTTTACTTTAGTGAAGGCTTATCCACATTTGGCTTGGTATAAGGTGGTTATCAGAAACATATTTGAACATTTTATTAAGACAAACAATATTTTTATGTAAATGTTCATGTAAAAGAAATGTCTCTCCCTGTAAGTTTCAGAAGTAATATGTGATTATCACAACCTGACTGACTTCAGATTTGTGTTGAGAAACCTTGTGTAGGCAGCTATTTTTTCTGAAAAACACTGAATTTCAATATTAATATGATGGTGTAGAAATCAACATGGCATAATTTTATTGGCTTTTTTCATGTTCATGATTTGATGACAGTTCAAATTTATACTTAAAGACTTTATTGTGCAGATATCTGATATATTTATTAAGATATTAAATATTACCAAAATTTCCAAATATTTTACATTTTTATTGATATTCATTTTCTCATTCAACAAATTCTCAGTGAGCTGTGTTGCCTATGCTCTTCTAATTATTGGGGATTCAACAAGGACCAAAAGAAGGGAGAGCCCATGAATTAAGAAAGTTTGTAGTTTAGAGCAAGGCTCTGCAAAATAAGCATCCACACAAAAAAGGATATAGCATGTTACATGGTGAAATACAAGAAGACAGATCAGTCAGGGAAGTGACAGGTAGTCATGAGCAAATGGGGTATTTTGTGGGGTTTTTTTGCTTGTTTGTTTTTTTTCCCCTCAGTTGTTGAAGGGCTGTAGTCATTTTTGTTAGGGTGTCCAGATTAGATCACATGAGAAAGAAGTGGTATTTGAGTAAAGACCTGAACAGAGGGGTGAACAGTTTGTGAATATCCGAGATAAATTTCTTAGTACAAGAAACTGAAGATTTCATTCAAGAGGCCCTGAAATATGAATATGCATGCTTGCAATATTTAAGAAAAATGCAAAAAGGCCAATTTCGTGCTCCCTGGGAGGTTACTGGAAAACTGCACCTAAGAAATAATTGGTTGGATAGAAGAGGACAAAATAGATCACTGTACATAGTTTGTCTTTTACTCTGAGTGAAACAGAGCACATGGCCTGAGTTTGACTGAGGAGTAATATGATGTGACTTAAGTTACTAAGATTGCTTTGGCCAATGTGCTGAAAATTGGCATGTAGTGGGAAGGCAAAAGTAAATGCAAGATGGAAGGTTAAGAGGATATTTCAAGAATTCTGGAAAGAAATGATGGTGGCTCAGACAGGCATAGTATGGGTTTGCTCAATGGGTAAGGAAAAAAAAATCTGAGTATAAGTTAAGCAATACTCTAGAAGGAAATCTATATGCATAATATTCTATACTAATATATACTTATATGTAAGAACTGAAATAACACATGGTTCTATGAATAATTGCAACTTTTACTTTTTGAATAAATCTTCTGACAGTAGAATAGTGTCTTTTTTCATTTAGGGATGGATATACTGGTTTTTTTGGTTGTTGTTTGTTTTTAAATATGGAATGCTTCACAGATTTGCATGTCCTCCTTGTATAGGGGCCATGCTAATCTCTATCATTCCAATTTTAGTTTATGTGCTGCTGAAGGGAGCACATGGTGGTTACATTGTCAAAATTACAACTAGTCTTGTTCTGTCTCTGCACCATTCCTATCCCATACTATGGACTGTAATAATTCATACAAAATCTCATTTCTAATTAAAAGTTTAAGATGAAAGAAAATATGTATGTATGTAGTATTTAACCAAGACCCATATAATTCAGTTTCTGCTTATGTAATTATTAAAAGTCAAATACAAAAGAATTTTCATCAATTTTACATTAAGACAGCTTTGTCTCTGCCAATATCCTAGGAAGACCAAACAGTCTTTAAAAAAAAAAAAAATTATTCTACCTATTGCTTTACCAAAAGCACACTTTTAAGGTATTTTATATAGATTTTGGAAAAGGATGTATAACTTACATTACTTTAGAAGAGGGTAACTCCCCCTTCCTTTTTCCCCCCAAATCATCACGGTCCTCCTCTTAATAAAATATGTTAGATGGCAAGTTGTCTGTTTGATGCCACTACTCCCACCCAAGGCTGGTAAAATTATTTCTCATGATATGCCCCCTCTATTGTCCCAGGTGAGACTTGATCAAGAAAGGAAAGTGGTTAAGATTTAGAAGATGGAAAGAAGCAGGGATCATTACTCTTGGTACATTGTGGTATACAGGCATGATGATAAACAAGGGCAACTATAATGTGTTTATTTTATTTATTTTATTTTTTTAAAGACTTTATTTATCTGACAGAGACACAGCGAGAGAGAGAACACAAGTAGGGGGGAGTGGGAGAGGGAGAAACAGGCTTCCCACGGAGCAGGGAGCCTGATGCGGGGCTTGATCCCAGAATTCTGGGATCATGACCTGAACTGAAGGCAGATGCTTAATGACTGAGCCACTCAGGCGCCCCCATTTGCTCTTATTTTAGAGCTGACCAACAACAGCACAAAACCTGCTACTTGGAGCTGTAAGAGTGACAATTCCCTTAGAAGCAATGGTTTTCACAGAGAAGCAGTTTTTTAAAGTGGCTTCTTAAAGCTTTCTTAAAGGTTCTAGATCTTCACAAGCTCCCCTCTCATGGTTGTATTTCAGCTTCCAGATATGCAAGATTTCTCACACTTCCCTACAAGTTCCAACTTATCTGTCACTGCTGACGCTTCAGGCAGCTACAGCGACCTTTACTCCAATTCTCTGGCTATCTCCCATCCGCCCACCTCATTTCCAGAGGTGCACTTCCCCACTCCTCCTACATTTCAGGGAACTTCAATTTCTACACTAAATTTCTTGCTCTGGACAATACTTCTACTGATTGATATATGCAGTGATACAACCCTCTGACTTAATCAACTGATGAGAGAAGTTTTTTTTTTTTTTTTTAACCATTTTGTATTCCATATGATGTAGACTACAGAAGTTTATGACCTAGAACTGACAATAGGTATTAAAGATGTAATCTATTGACTGACATATATAATAATACTTACTGGTAACATTTTCTGAGTTGTAACCATGGAAGAGGCATAGAATGGAAACTCAACACAAGCTATTATAGTGGATATAGTTAATATTCTCACTCTAAGTGAAGAAATCAATGTTTAAAGATGGTAAGGTGAAAGAGATGTTGCAAAATGGTAATTCAAATAGAATTATTCTAAAACTGAGCTATGTTATAGACATATATGGTAAACTATTTCACAAGAAACAACTGCATGTAGCCTAGTGAGCTGTAACATCTGGTAGTTTTGAATCCTTCCCTTCACTCTCTGTAGCTGACCAACTGGGCACTATTATCTCCTGGCTTAATATAATCTGTTTAGGTTGGCAAAGATTTGGAATATAGCAAAAAACCTGTGCTACATAGAAGACATATTTATTTTAAAAGTCAAGACCACTCATATTTCTTAGACTCTGCCTAGAAAATGAGCTGAAATGAAAAATAGTGCTGTCATATATAGAGAATCATCAGTCTTACAGTGAGTGCAGACTTCCCTTTCCCAATAGAATGAAGCTGAAAGACAGAGGTGAAAAGGGAAACCAAGTAAGTTCATCCTTTTTCTGGGTTACTAACCAAAAGTCACAGATTTCTCTTGAAAATGAACTCACCTTTCCCAATAGATTCTCCCATTCTTGTGTCCAGATTATTGCTTAAAGTGATAAACTGTAGGATTTAGTGACTCTGAAAGAGCTATAAACTTCTGAATATGCCCAATTTGTAGAATGAAATTATCACTGGCAGTAAGAGAATCTGTCTCATTTACTAAATCATATAAATATAAAATCACTAATTATTGGCACTCAAATAAAATGGTCTGCCATATTTATTGGTTAATTATAGACTAAGTGAGAAATTACCATCATCAAGCATTTCTACACTTATTAAGGAAGTGTCATTGTGCTAATTCCACAAAGTATGATATTTATAGGTCTATAGATAAATACAGTGGGATTATAACTATATAATATAACCTGTATTTATGTCTAACCTGTAAAAGAATACTTTTATAGTTGAAAATTGAAGATGTGATGAAGTCATTTTGATAGATTCATTTGATAATTAGCCTACAGAGCTATAAAAAGACATATGAATAATGACTTAGACAATTTATTTCCTTTCTTCTTCAGGAAATAAAATATAGTATTAATATGTATCTATTTAAGTCATATTCCAATATAATTATCTGCTGAAAAATAAACCCAGATTAAATAGGTAATATGAGCATACTTTTAAAATAAATTATTAATAATGGCACCTATGCAAAAAAAAAGCATTTTAAAATAAATTTAAGATGAAGTTACTTATTATATCCTATCATGACCATATATTTCATCCCACACATGTATCAGGCCTGTGCTACATTTTCTCTGTATTACACCTAAGCCTTTGAGTGATACCTGGGCTAACTCCTTGGTCATGCATGCCAGTTCTAGGTCAAATTAATTGTCCGGAACTGCAACAAAGTCCTTACTTCCACTTGAAAATCATTGCACTTTTCCTTCATTTACCTGCTCTCCCAATTTACTTATTAGTTATTCAAAGTCTTTCCCATTCTCCTCATGTTATCCTACCAGCCCTCTTCATTACCATGCCATTAGATGACCAAATCTGGCCATCAAGTGTATTTCCAAGTATTATCCTTTCAACATATTTCTGTACACATTCTTACTATCATCTCCTTAGTCTCAGATGTTCTGGCTCCTCCTCTGAAGACAAGAAACCCCCATTCCTGAGTTCTAATGCCTATCTCCTGCCATCAGTACCAGAAATTACTTGAATAATTATCTCTCTCTCTCTTCAACTTCTCTTTGTTTAACAACGCTTTTCTATTACCTCACAAGCATACAGAAACATCTTCTAATCTATATATGTTCCCCATAGTTTGGTTCTCATTTTCCCTAACCATTCACTGCTGCTCCCATTATGCTTACCTATTTCAAAAAGAAATGCACCCAGGAGACAATATTTTCAAAGAAAATCATACATACACAAAATTAAAAAAAAAAAAAACAGTATGTATGTTTGTAGTAAGAATATTTAAGGAAAAATTAATGCAACTGAAGACAACAAGTACAAACTAGGATTCAAAAAATCATTCCTAAGGTGCCTGGGTCGCTCAGTTGGTTAAGTGCTGACTCCTGATTTCATCTCAGGTCATGATCTCAGGGTTGTGAGACTGAGCTCCATGTCAGGCTCCACACTCAGTGAGGAGTCTGCTTAAGCTTTTCTCTCTCCTTCTCCTGCTTCCCCAACCCCCTGGCCCCATGCTCATACACGCATGCTCTTTCTCTCTCTAATAAATAAATATTAGAAAAAAAAATCATTCCTGATATAAAAGATTCCTGGAAAATACGTATTGAAAGAGTATGCTATTATTGGAGAAAATTGACCCAGAAAGTCAACAATGAGACATGATGGTAAAATTAGTGAATATTAAAGAGAAAGTAAATTTTCTTTGGCCTCCAGGCAAAAATATGAAGTCAAATACCTGATAGAGATAGTCAAATACTGACAGAAGAGAAAATCAAATCATTGTCATAATTTTTGACAGATCCTTTCATGCCAGAAGATAATAGTGTAACTTTTAGAAGACATTCAAAGAAAGGAAAGGTAAGCCAATGATTTTATATTTATCCACAATATAAAAGCTGCAGACAAACTTTTATGAAGACACTTGAATCTTCTAAAGATTCTAGATGTCAGGGAATAATGAGCTCTTCTGAAAAAATTAAAGTGAAATTTGTTTTAAATAATCAGAAAGACTGAAGATATAGCAACATAAACCTGTAAGTGAAAAGAAATATATCTTTACTTACAGAAATAGCAAAAAAAAAATCTTGGATGGTGTTTGAAATAGACTTGACTCCAGGGATATTCTCAGGTATATAAATAAATGATAGACACTAAGATATTTACCATCACTGTTACCTTCTCCAAAAACAAAATAAATATCATAGTTAGGAAAAAGTATAAATCTTTTATTCAAAAAGATACAACTTTGGTTAGTTGAATCCTTATTTTAGAATAATCTAAAATCTCAGGTAGTTCATGCTCATTCTCTATTCAACTATCCACTTTAAAATTTTTTATGTCCAGAAATTTTTAAACTACCACAAATTTGTAAGGCAAACTTTAATACTTTCTTCCAACAAAGTATTCTTAAATAAAATCTAGGATTTGATATTCACTCTCTGGCCAACAGATCTGTCAAAGGGTGACAAAATATATTGAGATGTTAAAAATTCTGCATATTTTTGTTCTCCTCCTTCATTGTTCCTGGATTGCTTTAATTTTAATCAGCAACCATAATGTTTATGGCAATAAAAAATAGTGCTTTACTTTTTAGTAGAGTAGTTATCCTACTAAAGATAGTTGTTTATAGGCTATTTAAGGAATAATTATAAATCCTATCACACCAAATAAAGTTTTGTTTTTTTTTTTAGATTTTATGTATTTGAAAGAGAGAGTGATAGAACAGGAGCAGTGTGGAGGGGCAGAGGAGGAATTAAAGCAGACTCCCTGCTGAGCAGGGAGCTTCACATGGGGCTTGATCT